CCCCCTCTTCCGCCTTGGAGCCGTATTGAAACTGTCGATGGCCATCTCCCTTTCTCCCTCGCATGTCTGCTTGTACATGCGTATAATTTCAGAACTTACCGTGCATGCGATCGTTTACAACATGGTGGACCGTGCGTATGTCACGAACCTTGTATACATGTGTTTCTCTCCCTCCGTCTGGCTGTGCACGCGCGCTTTGGGCACTGAGAGTTAGGATCATAGCGCCATGAGTCTATGAGCAATGCATGCGTCATCCTTTGGACTGTATAACATCAGTGTAACACATGTACTTCTGCAATCGCATCCCCACGAATTTGCCCCAAAAATGTGACCAACTATCTTGGCACTGCGTACCATCTCACGTGTACCGTGTACCACATCATATGTAACAGATGTGATCAACCTCTGTGGGTGTACCCCACGCCAGTGTAGTAGCCAGGGTCGTCCGCACGCCACGAAGTGAAGTGTCCCAACGTCATAGGGCGGGAAGCTGGGTGTGGGTGGTCTCGAAGAGTCGTTTGGATATTTGGTATAGCTTGAACGGCCCCCCCACGAAGTGGGGGTATTGGCTGGTGTCGCAAGAAAAACCAGGCACTGGGGAGAACAGCTGAGCGTTCGGGTAAAATGTAAAATGATTGTTGTTGTTGTTGTTGTTGTTGTTGTTGTGGTGGTGGTGGTGGTGGTGGTGGTGGTGGTGGTTGTTGTTGTTGCTGCTGTTGTTGTTGTTGTTGTTGTTGTTGTTGTTGTTGTTGTTGTGTGTTGTGTGTTTGTGTGTTTGTGTGTTTGTATGTGCGTGTTAGTGAGTGCGTGAGTGAGTGTGTGTGGGTGTGCGAGTAAATGTAAACGTGGAGGTGTATGTGCGTATATGTATGTGCAAGTATGTGTGCGTGTACGTCCGGAATTCCAGGTCAGGGGGAAGATGAAAGGGGGCAGCCACATATCGGCGGGTGAAGCGGTTCGGGGCCTTTGGGGGACCGTGTGGAGGTCTTTGGGACATTCCCCGGTGCCTCTCGGAGGCCTCCTGGGAGCTTTTTGGGCGCCCGCTGGCGGCCTCAGGGTTCCTCTTGGGGCGGGGGGCTCGTCTGTTCGAATTCCTCCTGTTGGGACCCTCTTGGGACTCTCTAAGGCTGTCTTCAGCGCCTCTTGGGCCGGTTTCAGGGATCTCCAGGGCCGTCTTGAAACACTGCGCGCGAATGTTCTAGAATCGCTTGCAACATATGGGACGAAGTGCACGCGCGCGTCGTCGCGCGCGCATGCCGAGAGGCCTTCGGCGGGAGTGGAATCGGCTGGTCGACGGGCTGGCTGGCCTTGCTGGTGCTCCTGGTGAACATCATCACGCTTGGCTCTCAGTCCGTGCGCGTCGGGAGCTTGGTGATCGCGCGCGTGCTGGTACCTTGGGCCCGTCCCTATCTCTGCGATGGCGCTGGTGGCGGCCCCGGTGGGCCTCAAGCAGTGGGCCTAGGCTCAGTACACCGGCGCGCCGCTGTGGCATCAGCGGCGCGTGTGGGGCCGGGTGATTCAGCATCCGACTGAGTTGCCGTGGTCTGCGCTTCGTGTCGTGATCTCGACGCCGGACGGGGACGTATACGAGGAGCTGTATGATTTGTTGGACGGCACGTTGACGGCGGTGAGGTTCGAGGACGATCGGCGGACGAGGCTGCCCGGGCTCGATGCGGGCAGCCCTTCCCGCGTCCGCCGCGCACTCACGGTGGCCGAGGAGGGCGCGATCAGGACGGAGCTGGAGGCCTACGCGCGGGACGCCTACCTGGCCTGTGAGCAGGCGGCTGGGCGACCCATGGTGGCGCCGCCGGCGGGGTTCTTCGAGCACTTCTCGTTCGGTGCTGCTGCAGCTGGGGGCCCTGGGGCGGGCGCAGGTCCACCACCGCTGCCCGCGCCTGTGGCGGCGCCTGTGGCGGCCGCCCTAGCCGCGCCCGCAGCGCTGGCGCCTCCTGCCGCACTCGCGCCCGGCGCACCGCTCGTGGAAGCTCGGGTGGCCGCTCCCCTTCTTGGAGGCGTGGTGGCCGCCGCTCTCCTCGGACCTGCTGAGGTGCCTGGGCCCGGTGGGCAGTGGCCGTGCGTGGAGTCGACCACCACGGCGCAGCGCGGGGACCTGGTGACGATGGATGGCTCGGAGGTGGTACGCGGCGACATCGGCCTGAAGCAGGCTCCTAACGGCAGCTGGTCAGCCATCCGTTGGGTCGCGACCTCGCAGGTTGCGCGCCGTGGGGCTGAGGCTGCCGCGGACGCTCGCCTCCAGCCTCAGGCGGCTCGCGACGGCGCGTCCTCTTCCACGAGAGCGTCGACAGGTTGCGCGAGGAGCCGTTTCCAGACTGGCCGTTGGACGGCCCGAGGACCACTCTCTGGCGCCTGCGCTTCCTGGATCGCAAGCGCGGTGGCGCGATCGAGCACTTCCACCAGTTCGTGTCGTACTATCGGCTCCCTCGAGATGACTTCGGCATCTCGCATTATGAGTCGATCATGCGAATGGTGGACAACCTCGTGACTGGGGACCTCCTCGACTTGCCGAGCGCGGTCGGGGTCGAGGTCATGATGAGGCAGGCGCAGTTGTACGAGTACATATACGCGATGGGGCACGAGGCCCGCGACGATGGCACGGCCCCTTCCCCGGGCGGCGGCGCTGAACCCAGGCCGAGGCCAAGAGCAAAGGCAAGGCTCCCGACGGGGGCGGCCTCCAGAAGTTCGGTTTCGTGGACGAGGCGAGGGTCTTCACTGGGGCCGCCCGCGAGGACGGGCGCATGATGGTCGCGCCGGCGCTGCCGGAACACGTGGCCAAACAAGTGGAGCGCGATGCTGGAATCCTTAAGCACATCAGGAAAGCTAAGGAAGAGCGTCGCGCTCTGGCGCCATGATTGGAAGAAGCCCGGAGGCGGTGACCCCGCCCGCCTTCGGGTGCATTCGAGGGGCCGCTGCTGGTCTGCCCCCTGGCAGTGAGACTATACTTGGGGCTAGCGCTGCTCGTCGTGGGCGGCGTCGAGATCTTTTTCCACTGCTGTGCCCCAGTGAAGTAGATCGCAGCTTTGTGGCTTCAGACCTCTCTCGGACCACGATTGGGCGGCCCCAGCGAGCTGGGCGCTGAAGTGAGATGGCGCGGAACGCCATCCGGGCTCTGAACGAGATGGCACCGGCTCGGGCTGTCCACGGCCCGCGGGACTTGCGGGTCCGACGGCCGCCGAGAGTGAGGCGATGGCGGTGATCCTGGAGGCGGTCGACGCTTTCGGAATGCCCCCGCCCGACCTCACTTCCGCGGGGGCCCTCGAGGAGCTCCGCGTCGCGCAATCGCGCGACCAGGAGTCCGCCGTGATTGCGCCGGTGACTTTCGACCGCGTCGACCTGATCTCCCTGCCGAGCGCGGGCTCCAAGCCGTTGCCCCTGTCCGCGCTCGTCGGGGGCGACGGCGCGAGGATCGGTCGCCGCCTTCGAGAACTTCTGCGCCCGCCGTGAGCGGGGGCTCGCTCGCGTTGCTGAGCGCGCTCCGAAGCGGGCGCATTCGGGCCCTAACCTCGGCGACCCTCGATTGCGCAAGAAAGTGTCGCGTCGGCTTATGTCGTCTGACCTCTTTGAATGTCACGCGGGGGCCCTCGGCGCTGTGGGGGCGCTTTTTCGTTTACAAGAAATCGGGGGCCTGAGGCCTCATACTTGATGGCAGGATTCCTTCTCAGTCGTTTGACGAGCCGCCGAAGGTGCGGCTAGCTACGGGGGCCGCCTTCTCTCGGCTACGCGTGGGCAGCAATCGGCCTGCGTGCGTCGCCGGCGTCGATGTCGTTGGCGCTTTCTACGCTATGCTGCCGCCGCCTTGGCTTCGTCGGTTCCTTGGACTTCTTGGACATCCGAAGGTCAGGGCAGGGGTGGTGGGCGTCTCAGCCGCGGCCGACTGTCGGTCTGTCTCGCTGGCCCAGTGGGTGGATCCTTGCTTCAGGTGCCCTCCGATGGGGTTCAGTTCGAGTCTTTGGTTGTGCCAGGCGGCGAATGAGATTGCGCCCCTGCGCGCGGTTCTCGTGGTCCCCGAGAGGGCGTTGATAGATCGCTCGCCTGCTCCCTTGGTGGATACCAGTATCATTCACGCCGAGTGTGTTTGATAACTTTGTCGCTTTTTCTCTGGTCCAGAGTGCTGCTGCTGCTGCCGCCGCTCAAGTCGACGAACAGATGCGTGCTGTTGGACTTCCGACTCGTGGGGTTGAGTCTGGCGTGGGGGGCGAGACGTCGGGGTGGCGCTTCGACCCGTCGTCGCCCGTCCTCTCGCCCAATCCCCGCCCCCGCTGGAAGCTATACTTGGGAATCCAGGAGAACCTTCGGATGGGGCTACTGTTCGGGCGAGGAGATGGTGAGGATCGTCTCGCATTTCACGTCTAGGGTACTTATTCGGCGCGAACTGCTCTCCTTTCTCGGGGCCGTGTACAAGTTCGGGGAGACGTGCAAGGGTCGCGTCGCTCGACTCTGGCCCGTCGCACGTCGTGAACTTCGCTGGGCCCGTGCGTTCCTCGTGTTCTGCAACAGGAACCTCGGGCTCCCGATCGACGCCACCCTCGCTTGCATCGGCGCGTCGTCTCAGGGCTTCGGGGCCGCTCAGAAGGAAGACTCCGCGGAGGCGGTGAAGCGCCTGGCCATGCACAGCGAGCGCTGGAGGTTCTCTCGGGGCGCTGAACAGCAAGAGCTCGGGCCCCGAGCGGCCGCGGTCTCTAGCGGTGGCGCTGGCGGGTCTGCTGCAGGCCTGGTCGAGGACTTCGAGGAGCTCCCCGTGGAGATCTGGATGGGGCGATTGGCACCCAGTGCAATCAGTGCCCTGGAGGCGCCCGGCCCCGCAGGTCATCTTGGTGGCCCACTCTGGCGCGATGGGGCTCAAGCACGAGCCCCGAGGCACGAGGGCCGTCAGGAGGGCCCACGTCGTTTTGAACGATGCCATGGCGCCCGTTTTGGCTATGTTGCCACGGGCCGGTATTCGGCCCCGGCGTTGCTGGCTGTTTGCCGGCAGGTCGCTGCTTGCCGCTGGCGTCGGGCTCCTCGCCGCGCTGGAGACGGCCGCCGTCCGAGTTTAACTCGGCCGACCCGGCCTCCCGCAACCGCCCCTGCGCGCGGCCTGAGGCTTGGTTTGCTCCGGCGGCCCTCGACCCCGCGAGCGTCTACAGCCGCCCCGCCGGGAGTCTTGCGGCGGAGGCCGGCCGCCTCGACCTCGGCGCGCCGCGCGCGGAGCCGTTCGACGCCCGGCTGTCCTGCGAGCCGGCCTGGGCGGCGGGCCGACTTGGGCCGGGGCGATCAAGCGACGCGTCGCTGCGCCCGCCGCCAGGCCTCTCCCGCCGCCTCGACGTCGGCCGCGCGCGGAGCCCTCGCCCCCTTGGAGACGGGCGCGGCAGGCGACGCCGCGCGCCGGGACTGCCAAGTCCGAGTGGCGAGGTTCGAGGCGCGGGCGACTGCGGCGCGGCCCCCGTTGGCGACAGCGGGGGATGCCGACGAGGCGCTAGTCGCTAGCGCTCGTTGAAGAAAGCCCCTAGCGGCCAGTGACCTTATTCAACGAGGTGTTTCTGGAGGGCCATCCGAGCCAGGAGGCTGTCAAGTACATGGCCGCCATCGCGCGCTTCTGGTCGACGCTGGGGCGACTGCAGGTGGCCCTGCCGCGCGCGGCGCGTGCTGCCCAGGGTTGGGCGCGGCTGGTCCCGCCTCGCTCGAGGCCCCCGATCCCCTGGCCTATCGCCTGTCTGATGATCGACTGGATGCTAAACTCAGGCGAGCTGGCGGCGGCCGCGGCGACGGCGGCGCGCATCGCGCTGCGCCTGCGCCCTGCGGAGCTGCTCGGGCTTCTGCGTGACCGGGCGATCCCGCCAGCGGTGGGCGCGCAGCCAGGGCAGGCCTTCATCTCGTGCTGGTCGGTGGTGCTGCATCCGATGGAGTGCCTCCAGCCCTCGAAGACTGGGGTCTACGACGAGGGCCTCCTGGTGGACAGCCCGCTGCACGCGCTGCTGCCGCCGCTGCTGCAGGCGCTTCGGGCCCGCGCAGCACCGCGAGGCCGCCTGGTGCCGTCGAGCTACAATCAGTGGGCGCTGGCGTTCAGACGGGCCGCGACGGCCCCCCACCTGGGCGCGCTGGGCCCCCCCGCCCTCTGCGCGCTTCGGCGCGGGGGGGCTTCGCGCGAGCGCGTGGCGAAGACGAGAAGCCTCGGCGAGGTCAAGAAAAGATACCGCTGGGTCTCAGAGTCGCCCCTGAGGCGCTACGCCAAGGGCGGCAGGGTCGCGGGGCAGATGCGACGGCTGCCCCCTCAGAGCAGCGCCGCGCCGCCAGCCTGGCCGGCAGCGCTGGCGGGCGCCTGTCGCTCATCTGGGCCGGCATGTGGAGCTGCGCCACCGGCCTTTCTTCCTCGAGGTTTCCTCGGGATCGGGCCGATTGCCCCTCAGCTGGAGGCGCGTGTCCCGAGGTGCATTCGCTGCCTTCGAGATTGACATCAATCATGTCCCATGGGCGGACTTGCTTCAGCAGCGCCTTCAGCAGTTGATTCGCGGGTGGCTCCGCTCGGGTTTAGCGCGTCGGAACACCTTGTCAATCGATGTCGCTTCCGCGCAGCCGACGCAATGGACCTCCGCCTCTGAGAAATAGCTCGTTTTTTGAAGGTCTCCCTAACCTGGGCCCCGCTGATGTCCTCAAGGTCCTGCGAGGAAATCGTTTGTGTAGATTCATCTTTAGTCTTTTTGAGCTGGCGCTGTCCCTGGGGCTCCCCGTTGGCCTCGAGAACCCTGGGTCTTCCTGGCTTTGGAAGTAGCCGGTGGCCATCCGTGTTGGGGGGCGTCTTGGGGCTCAGTGCCGAACGGTCGATTTTTGTGCCTTTGGTACTTCTTGGCGCAGACGTATTGCTATTCTTTTTGCTAATGCTGATCTATCGTGTTTGAACCAGTGCAAGTGCGTTGGCAGTGGCATTCGTTCTTTTACCAATCGTCCGCGCGCAGAGTTGGCCGGGAAAGACAGCACTGGCAGATTCCCCGCTGCCATCGCTGAGCCATTTCCGCAGCAGTTGTGCACTCACATCTCCCGCGCCTTTCTGAATGTTGATCGTGGCCATGCGATGCGAGGCGTGATGTCTGAAGTGGCCCCTCGGCGAAACGGCGCGCCAGAGCTCAGTTTCGGATTTTCCGATTTTGAGGTGTTGTGCACAGTGTTTCTGCTGCCTGCCGTTGGGCGAGCGTCTGTCATTGCCTTTCTTTGCCCGGAGCTCTGGGCGCCAGCAAGCGCGCAGATCAAACCTTCGGGTCTGCCCGCTGAAAAAAAAGAAACCTCGGACCAGATGGCAATGCGGGCGCGTGGATCTTGTCTGAGAGCTTCTGTCGGAAAGGGGGCCGCGCGCATGTCGCCCGCGACCGATTGTGCTCGAGCTCCCTCCCGAGCCCACCCGCGGGGCAAAATCTGCGTGAGGTGTTGTGCTTCGTGTTTCAGCTGCCTGCCGTTGGGCGGGCGCCTGTCGCTGCCTCTCTTCACCCGGAGTTCAGGGCGCCAGCAAGCGCGCAGATCAAACCTTTGGGTCTGGCCGCTGGAAAAAGAGAGGCCTCGAAACACCACATATATAAGCGCACGGTTCCGCAGCGTCCATTGTCAAAAAAGTGCGCGCTCGCGCAAATGCGACTTCTTAAGGCGACCGCGAATTCTTAAGACGACCGTCGGCTTCTCAACATTTTCATACCATACTTCCAAATTGGCCTCTCGCGCGCGCGTGTCGGAATCGTTCGAGCGCCCTTGCGCGCGCGCTGTCGCAAAACAACCCCTTGCAACGACTGGGGCGAAGTGCGCGCGCGAGCGTCGTCGCGCGCGCGTGCCGACATCTTTCAAAAACCTTCGGTTTCTTGCAGATTTCAAGAACGAGTCGCCCGAACACATATACAACGCATGGTTTTGCAACAATTTTCAACAGTCCAGCGCTCGCGTTCTTGCGGATTCTCGGGTGGGCCATTGGTTTCCAATATGTTCATCAAGCTCTGCCAAACGGGCCTTTCGCGCCGCATGTCGAACTCATTCGAACGCCCTTGCGCGCGTGCTGGGAGGGGGGGGGGGGCACGATCCGTGTCAAATAATACCACGCGGGCCACGCGCGCGCGTCGGCCGCGCGCGCATGTCGAACTCTTTTAAAAACCTGCATTGCCGACGCGAGGACATCGTCATCGCTATCGGCGGGCGTGATCAACATCGGCGACGTCATTGGCTTTGCCGTCGTCATCGCCACCAGCGCCACCATGATCGCTACCCTCATAATCGTGTCTACCGTTGTCGTCGTCTCCATGACACCGCGCCCGCCCAAATCACCGAGTTGCACTGAATACCACGGTGGGAAGTGCTCGGCGGTCAGCGCCACCGCGGCCGCGTCGGCCGCGCCAAGCTAGCTGGCCGTTGTGCGCACGAGCATTCGCGGGCTAGCGCGGCCGCAGAGATGCACCAGCCAACGCTACGCACTGATCACAATCGCCGCCGCATGGGTTTTGTAAGCCAAGTTGCGGGTGGGTGTGTGGGATGGTTGGAACAGCATGGGAGGTGTCACCTCGTGTGTAAGGTGTCACATCGTGTGTAACAACCAGCGGCACCACATAATTTGCACCACGTAAGTTGTATAGCACAAATTGCACATCACATATGGTTCAACATATAGTGCACCAGTGCTCCACTCAGACTGCACAACATATGTTGCACCACGTATCAATCACACCATCCAATACACGACTGAAATATAACACAACATAGAGTGCGCCACATTTAATGCACGCGCTACGCATATATTTGTATATAGAGGGGGGGTGTACATGCGTATGGCACCACGTAGATTGCTGTTTCACTTATAGTGCGCAACGTAGAGTGCACCACAGGCATTGTACCACATATCGCACACCATGGGTTGCTTTACGTACGTGTGGCAACATAGATTGCCAGACACACACTGTTTGGGGTCCACGCTGGCTAACATATAAACTGTCCCAATTGATTGGGCGATGTTTGCCTCCTGGGGCCCTTTCCGGGCTGCTCTTGGAGCCCTTTCAAGGGCGTATTGGAGGAATTCTGGGCCGTCTTGATGCTGTTTGTATTATTGTTGTCGCTTACCCCGCGTGCTGGAGCCCAGCTCGAGCAAGCCTCACTGGCATCCTGGGCATCTTGCAGGCCACGGAGTGCAGGTGGACAGCCGAATGTCTCACACGGTTCCCCCCCCAGCAAGCGGGGTCGGCGGATTCTCTGGTGTTCAAGAGCGATCGAATTGATTGCGCATCCACGATGTTAAGGCCGAGCCCTTCGCATCACCCCCGGCCCATATCCTCTCGAAACCAGTCCCCGAGACCCCTTCCAGGGTCTATCCTGGCCAGTTCTCCGAACCGCGCTTTACCGTTTCGACGAGAGCTTCCGCTGACGCTCCAAATTTCCGAATCAATGACGTCGACGTCGACGGCGACGACGGCAGTGTCCCAAAACCTATAGCGCCTTGACTTGTTCAATGCAGGGTCCCGGGAGATCTCGACCCCGTCCCAGGCATCGATTTTTCGCCCCGGGTCGTTCTCTTACGGCCCCAGAGCCTGCACAAGGTCCCTGTAGTCCGAGAGTTACGAGAGCCTCCGCCTTGAGGATTTCCCGAGACGCCAGTGGCACATGTCCAGGGGTCGAAACTCAGCCTGCGTCATGAGTGACCGCCACCTCGCGGGCATACAGGCTTGACCAGACCTGACTCCTTCACTGGTGACATCAGGCCGCAAGTTCTCGCTCCGATTGGAGCTCACGCGCAGAGCTGGTCGAGGCTCTCTTCGTGTCTTGTTACTCGAAAAGGCTTGTTTTTGATATATGGTTCAGTCGGGCATGTCCCTACACAGGAGGAGTGTTCAAACATAGTCAAGAATAGTCTGGGAACGATGTTTTCTGAACATTGTTTGACCATGTTTCATTTCCCGTCCAAAGCCCGCCTGCGGGAGGACATGCTCGACTTAAAGCTGTGGGTTTCTTCCTCCCGCCCTTGAGGTGCACAACCTGGCGGTGGTGCAGTGCGACCCCGCAGCCATGGCGTCCCTGCACAGGGCGCGGGCGCCCATCCGCGCGGCCACCATCGCGTCGGGCGCCAGGGCCAGCCTCCGGCCAGGCCGCCGCCGCCGCCGCCGCCGCTCCCGCGTGGTCCTCTTGCTGACCGCATTTTTTCGGTCAGGCAGCCGAGAGGCATCCCTCCTCCTCTTCCTCCTCCTCCTCCTCCTCCTCCTCCTCCTCCTCCTCCTCCTCCTCCTCCCCCTCCTCCTCCTCCTCCTCTCCTCCTCCTCCTCCTCATCATCCTTCTCCTCCTCCTCCTCTCCTCCTCCCCCTGCTCCCCCTCCTCCTCCTCGTCCCCCTCCTCCTCCTCCTCCCCCTCCTCCCCCTTCTCCCCCCTTCCTCCTCCTCCTCCTCCTCCTCCTCCTCCTCCTCCTCCTCCTCCTCCTCCTCCTCCTCCTCCTCTCTCGTTTCTTGTTTTGTGTTTGGATTGTTTTTTGTATATGCTTTTCTGGATCTCTCTCTCTCTCTCTCTCTATCTGTATGTTCCCACGTCCTGAGTGGTTTCTTGTTTTCTCTGGACACCCCGGCGCAGGAACCAGAGCACGTCAACGTCATCATCGCCATCACCACGGCCACTATCATATTCAGCATCATCGCATCATCACCAGCATCATCATTGGTATAACAATTTAGTTATTATAAGTACTATCACCAACACCGTCATCACCACCGCCACCATCATCATCATCATCACCATCGTCAGTATCATCATCAGCACCATTAGCATCATCATTGTTATTGTCCTATCATGTTTCAGTCGTCTCATTCGTATCACTCGCATTGTTGTTATTATCAGCATCATTCGTATTCGCATTGGTACTGTTATTACCATTATTACTAGTTTCATTATTCTCAGTATTATACGTATTACCAGGACGGTGATGTTGCTGCTGGTGGTTATGATGATGATGCGGATGATGATGATGATGATGATGATGATGATGATGATGATGATGATGATGATGATGATGATGATGATGATGATGATGATGAGGATGATGATGATGATGATGATGATGATGATGATGATGCTGATGATGATGATGATGATGATGATGCTGATGATGATGATGATGATGATGCTTTGACTGGCACTAGTAATCATACTTATGATGAGTGTTATTACCATCATGAGGACCAGTATAATCATGAGCCTCAATGTGTTTCAACATTTCCATGTTTTGTTCTCATCATTGTGTTCATCCGTATTGCTCTTAGCACGGATAGTATCTTAATTGCTGAATTTACGTTTGTTAGTGATATTGTTATAACCACCAGTTTTTAGTATATACCACCATTTTCATCAGCATCATCACCATCAGCAGCATCATCATGTTCATCACGCACACTCCCACACGCATGCACACTCACTCACACACTCTGACACATGAATATTGAGGGAGGCTCGAGCGGGACACTCGTCTGTGAGCGAATCGCGAGGACATCTCGATCGGGAACCCCTCCCTATGGGGTCGCAACCTCAAGATGGTAGTCCGAGGGGGCCATTTGAGTACTCTGTGAAAGCACAGATTTGGTGACATCTGGGAGCCTGAATCACGAGGAAGTCTCGAGCGATAGCCTCGTCCCTGAGCAAATTGAGAGGATGTCTCGGGCGCTCACTCGTTCGTGAGTGAATCGCGAGGACGTCTCGATCGGGAGCCCCTCCGTACGGGGTCGCCACCTCGTGGTGGGGAGGTCCCGAGTGGGAGCCTCATTCCCGAGTACACTTAGATGATGTCTCGGGCGCTCGCCCACATGTGTGAGTCGCGAGGAGGTCTCGAGCGGGAGGCCCCCTCCCTATGAGTCCCCCCGCCTCATGCTACGGATCCGAGGCGGCCGTCGGAATGCCATGCACAAACACAGCTTTGGTCACACTTGGGAGTCTGAGCTTGGAAGAGTGCTCGAGCGGGAGCCTCGTTTGGGTCGAGCGCCCCTTGTAATCCGAGGCGGTCATCGTCAATCAAACCTGCAAGTGTCGGCCAGACAGGAGGAGAGCCTCCGTAGTCACAAGGATGATGATGAGGATTATTTGCAGATTCGTTTGGAGTGTTATCATGTGGGGTCCAACCGTTAGAGTAATGTGTTTATACGTCTCTCTACACCACATTGATATGTACACATGTGTCTCTCTTTCTGCATGTCTCTCCCTACCTCTGTCGCTCTTTCTCTTTATCGCTCGATTCCTATAGTTTTTTTGTTCCCCCCCCCCTCTCTCTCTCCCCCTGCTTTCCCTTTTTCTCTTTATTGCTCTTTCTCTCTCTCTCTCTCTATATATATTCCTCTCCCTGTCCCTTTTCTTCTCCCTCTCCCTCTCCCTCTCCCTCCTGGGCCCGCTTTGAACCACGCCTACTCTTTAGCTTGCCTCAGTGCGCCCTGCTCGGCTTGAAGTTCTGTCGCTCTCGCTGGGGTGGGGCAGGGAAGCAGTGCCGCTCGCGGTTCGCGCCTCCAGGCGAGTGCGTCAACTTCGTGGGCTTCGACAACCAGTGCAACCCCTTCTGCGCCAGGCGACCCGGGGGGGGCGCCCTCCCCTCCGTGACGCCACCCTCGCCTGGCTCCGGGGCGTGGGCCGGCGGCCGGAGGGGAGCCTCTTGAGCGAGGGGGGCGCCAGCTGGAGGGGCTCGTCACGGAAGGGGTCGGTCAGGCCGCGCCCGGTGAGTGCAGAAGGGAGGAGGGGGAGGGGGAGGGGGAGGGGGAGGAGGAGGAGGAGGAGGAGGAGGAGGAGGAGGAGGAGGAGGAGGAGGAGGAGGAGGAGGAGGAGGGGGTCGAGCGAGTCTAAGACCCAGTCAATCGCCCGCTCCGGCCCGAGCCTCCCTCCCTCCGGGTGGTCGGGGACGGGGAGCAGAGGGCTCACCGCCACGGGGGGGGGAGGGGGGCGGCAGGTCCATGCAGAGAGGGGGGGGGGGCGAAGGAAGCCGGGGGCGGGGACGCCCAGCGATGAGGTGTCATTCTGCTCCCCGCCCAGGATCCATCCCCAGGCAGGGCCCAGCGACGGCGCGCCCCTCTCCCCCCACGAAACCACGAGTCTGCCTCTGGGTCTGGGGTGGGTCGGCGAGCTCGGGCCTCGGCGCGAGCGTCCAGGTCCCGCTGGAAAGGGGCGAAGGGGGAAGAGGGGAAGGAGGATGACCAGTGCAAACCCAAGATGCGCCAGCGATGCTGCAAGACACCCTACAAGCCCCTGCAAGCTTTACCCTCCACTGCAAGAAGCGCCCCCAGTGAAGGTCCAGCGTCATCTGGGCCTGCCATTTTGGCAAGGGCCCTGTGCTGAAAAGGAGTCGCCTTGCATCCTTCTGGTGCGGAAGCATGAGTGAGAAAGATCATGATCATACATGTCAGCGAGATTTTTCCAGCGAGATCTTCCTTTCGAAAGAAGCACCGCCCCCCATCCGTGCACTTGTTGGCAGCCTGTGGCAAGCAAGCCAGGGCGGGGACACCAGCGACCTGCTGGCACACCGGCTCAAGGTCTGTCGGCTTACGCGCCCCTTGGCCAAGCGCTTGTCTGCCCGGCCTCCGCCGAAGGCCCCGCCGAGAGATGGCCCGCTGCGCACTCGCCACCGCCTGCGTGCTCGCGGCCTTCGCCTGCGCCGTCTACCAGGGCGCCCGCGCCTTCGTGCCCGCTCCGCAGGGCCCCGCCCTGCGCGGCGAGGCGCTGGCGGCCGCAGGCGCTCTCGCCCTCGCCGCGCCCGAGGCTGCCCACGCGTTCACGTACAACGGCAAGGAGTACTTCGACGTCTTCTACGGCATCAGCCCGCTGTACTGGGCCATTAGGGGGTCACATGCGAACCCTACCCCTACCCCCCACGATTTCTGAGGTCGAGGGTGGGGTTCACTTCGTTCGGGAGCTCCCGAGCGAAGTGAACCCCACCCTCCCCCTCAGAAATCTTGGGGGGTAGGGGTAGGGTTCGCATGTGGCCCCCTAGCCATGTGCGCGTTCGGCATCGTCTTCTACGGCGCCGTGCTGAAGAACGCCGCGCTCAAGTACAACACGCCCTACGGCACCACCACCAACCCCGACGCCAAGCCGGTGGTCACCGGCAAGTTCGTCGGCATGGAGGTGGAGACCGGGCAGATGGAGAACTACAACCTCGGGGGCAAGGACTACATCAACAAGTAGAGGGCCCGCGGGAGCGGGGCATCGCCCTTGGCGCATTTTCGACTCATTTGCGAGTTTTTATTGAATAGGCTTACGGCATTCCGCCGACCCCCATAACAGTGAATTCTAGAAGGTTCGCGTAACCCCACCAACCCATCCAGAAACGATGCTCAGGCGAGTTACCCTGGTCAGGCATGTGGGGGAGCACGCAGTGGAATAAAGGCCGGGAAGTCGTCATACCCCAAGAGGGCAAGAATGGAGGAGGAACGAGGAGGAGGAGGAGGACCGTGTAAGCCCAAGAGTCATCAACGATGTTGGAATTAACCCTCCCTCCAAGCTCCCTCTTCCTCGGCCCCTACAACGGTTCATTTCCATTGAGTGGACTGCCTCGTTGGAAGACAACTGTTTCAAGACCTGGAAGCTCGCCAAAACATTGTTCTCGGGATTCCCACGCCACGGATCAACCTGACTGCTGCGTTCTGACGATCTGGAATCGTCTTAGAACGCAATTTTTTGGACATCCACACCGCGAATCAACATAACTGTTGCACCCTCATAATCCTGAATCTTTCCTAAGCATCATTTCTGGTACGTTGCTCATGGGAATCCGTGAAACTCTTGCAAATGTTGAAAACGAATGTACGCGGCGCTACGGCGAGAGCCACATTTTGAAAAGGAACCGCCTTCGATCCGTGAAACTCTTGCACATTTGGAAAACGAATGTGCGCGGCGCTAAGGCGAGAGCCACATTTTGAAAATCCACCCGCCCTCAATCCGTGAAATTCTTGCAAAGTTGGAAACGAATATCCGCAACGCTAAGGCGAGAGCTACGTTGTGAAAACCGCCCGCCCTCATTCCGTGAAATTCTTGCAAATTTCGACAATAAGCGCGCGTGGTGCTAAGGCGAGAGGTACATTGTGAAAGCCACCCGCCCTCAAGCCGTGAAATTCTTGCAAATTTTGCAAACGAATGTGCGCGGCGCTAAAGCGAGAGCCACATTTTGAAAACCACCCGCCCTCAATCAGTGAAACGCTTGCAAATGTTGGAAACGAGTGTGCGGGGTGCTTAGGTGAGAGCTACATTGTGAAAACCACCCGCCCTCCATCTGCGAAGCTGTTGCCATTCTTTAGGCTTCAGAGCCATAAGTGGTGAGGAAGCCTCAGGCGAAACGCCCGGCCCGCCCTAAAAACTGGCCTCGGGGTGCGACAGGCGGAAGGTATTTATTTCAAGGAACAGTCATGAGTGGAGGAGGAGGAGGACCAGTGCAAATGCACGACTCATCAACGATGTTGAATGACACCCTCCGTCTAAGATCCCTCTTCATAGGCCCCTATAAGGGGTCATTTCCACAGGGAGTTGCCCGTTGGGGGACAACCGTGTGAACATCCTGAAGCCTGCCAAAACACCGTCGCAGAACTTCGACGCCACGATACGTCTTGGCGATCTTGAACCGTGACAGAACATTCCTGGGACTACACCGCGAATCAACATAACTGATGCGGCCTGACAACCTTGAATCGCTTCAAACACCGCTTATGGTACGTTGTTCACGAGCCGCCGTGAAACCCGTGCAACTGCTCACAACGAATGTGCGCTGCGCTAAGGCAATAGCCACATTTTGAGAACGACCCGCCCTCGATCCGCGAAGTTCTTACGATTTTTAGGAGCTAATGTGCGCGGCGCTAAGGCGAGACCCACATTTTGGAAGCGACCCACCCTCAATCCATGAAGGCCTTTTTCTTTTGTCTTTTTTTGGGGGGTGGGTGGGTGGTCTTTTTTGTAGTGCATCAAAAACGAGTGTGCGCGGAGCTAAGGCGAGAACCACAGTTTGAAACCGACCCGTCCTCACCCCGTAAAGCTCTTGCAATTTTTAAGAATGAATGTGCGCGGCGCTAGGGCGAGATCCACATTTTGAAGACGACCCACCCTCAATCCGTGAAATTCTTGCACATTTTCAAGATGAGTGTACGCGGCGCTAAGGCGAGAGTGGGTGGAAGAGGAAGCGCTTTAAACCATTATTCACGCCCAGAGGGCAGGTGGGATTAGCCCCCTTCTCCTTCCCAGGATGCCAACATGTGGCCCTAACTTGAGTAACATCAATGATGTTTGTTTTCTCGCCGAGGCGTCTTGCGGCATCTTGGGTGCATCCGGGGGGCCTCTTGGGGGCATCTTGGGGGTCTCTCGGGTGCCTCTTGGGGGCAGCTGGGGGGCCTCTTGGGGCCTCTTGGGGGCCTCTTGAGGCCTCCTGGGCACCTTTTGGTGGCTTCGTGGGGCCTCCAGGGCACCTCTTGGGGGCCTCTTGGGGCACCCTTGGGAGCCTCGGAAGCCATCTTGGGGTCAACTGTGAAGATATCGATCAAATGATGGGCCGTACGGTTAGACGTCAGTATTGAAAGTGCACGGCGCCCAGGGACAACGTGCCATTCACCGTCCGTTCACTCTATACGCGTCTCTCCCTCCCGACCGCTTTCGGTATACCTAAAAGCGGACGTGCAATCTATGCGCTTCCGTATTTAACGCGGACGTGTTCGCTGAACGTTTTTATGTTGGCGATATTTTTACCTTGCAACTTTCCTGGGCATGCGTGCGTAGCGCCCTCGTGAGGGTGCAGTCTATACAATTCGATCTCTTTTGCTCACCTCTCCGCTCCGTCCCCTCCCCCCTCCTCCGAGTGACATGCGCCGCGTGAGAAAAGGAGAATGAGGAGGCAGAGGAGGAGGAGGATCATGAGGAGGATGCGTACGAGGTGGCTCGGGCCTGCGGTGGTCGATAGGCCAAGTGTAACGCCAGGGATTTCTGAGCCAGATCGACGTCCTGAAAGCAAAACATGCGATCTAAACGTTTTCTCTTTTCCATTTGAAGTGCATTACTTTTTGTCTGAAAAATCGGACGTGCACTCTAAATTCTGAACACCGCGTACAGAGTGCACCTCTTTGCGATGTGCACTTTGAACAGTTGGTCGCTTAGAGTGCATTTGAACATCCCGAAGTGCACTCTAAATACTGAACTCTGACCGTAGTAATTTAGCCCCCCCGCTCTCAGGCGGCCAACATGTGGCCAACACCGCAGTCGGAGGATGGGAGGTGAGATCGCAGTGGAACGGAGAGCCCCCCACCTGGAAATCGGTTTCGGTTTCGTGTCGTGCGTGCGGGCGAGGCGAAGCTGCGTGGTCGCGCGAGAGGGATGACCCCGCCGTCGCTAGGGGGATTCGGATGCAGTGGACCGCCCCTCCGCCCCTGGTGGGCGCGTGGTAGCCTGGATGTCCCGCCGTGGTGTCCTGTGGTGTCCCGTTGGTGTCCCGTTGGTGTCCCGTCGGTGTCCCGTCGGTGTTCCGTCGTCGGTGGGCGGGCGGTGGCCGGGGGGTCCCGCCTTGGTATTGATAGTGAAGTCTATCGTGAGATCGATAATGATATCGCTAGAATGGGATGGCTAGTGAGATCAAAGCGAGATCCGCAGTGATGTTGATTGTGGCATTGGTTGTGAGATCGATCATGGGATCGATAGTGAGATCAATCGAGGAATCGGTAGTGATATCGATAGTGAGGTCGATAGTGAGGTCGAGCGTGAGATTTTTAGTGCGATCTATACATGAGATCGGTCGTGAGATCTATAGTGAGATCGATCGAGTGTGATCAATCCTGTGAGGCCGATACTTGGATCGACCGAGTGAGATCGAACGCGGGGACGATTGACATTACATCACAGCGCAACATCGTCATCACGCGTCGTCGCTAACTCGAGGGTGTGTCACCAGCATCGTCATCATCACTCACATCGCATTTGCCAGCAGTTGGTTCTTCCCCCCCACCCTCCGTCCTCCTTGTCATCGGAAGGGTGGTCGTATATGTAACACCTATGATTTTGGCTTCCTCGCCGAGGCCATCCTGGACGCTCCAACTGCTTGTGAAGCAGCGCCCCGTCCAGACCCAGGGGGGGAGGGGGAGGGGGAGGGGTAAACCCCTCCCCGAAGGGGAAGAGGGAAGATGGAAGAGGAAACGCTCTGAACCACGCACGCCCAGAGGACTGGTGAGATTGGTCAAGAGTCGTGCCACCGTGCCCAGCCTGTGGGTCAGGAGTCCTGGGGGTGCACATGAGGATCTCCTGGTCTGTGGCCCCTGGGAGGGCTCTTGGGGCATCTGGTTGGCTTTCGGGCCTCTTGTCGTCGGCGAGCGAGGGGGGGAAGTGAGAAGGAGAAGGCCTTCTGAGAAGGCGGCGGGACTTCTCAGAAGCCCCCGCGCCTTCGACAGTCTTTTTGCGTCTTCAGAGAACTTCTCAGAAGGCCGGGGCGAGCCTTCTGAGAAGGTCTTCTCCTTCTCACTTCCCCCCCTCGCTCGACGTCAATCTTGGATGTGTCTTGAAAGCCTCTTGGGGCCTCTTTGGGGCGTCCTGGGGGTTACTGGGGGGCTCTTGGGGCCATCACGGCGGGAAAGACTCGAGATGTCAGTTTGTATTGGCCCTCTTGGGCATCTCTTGGGGCCCTCCTGGTCCGTCATAGGGGCCCCTGGACCCGTCATGGGCCGTCTTGGGCCCTCTTGGGGGGGCTCTATTGGGCCGTCTTGGGGCGCTCTTGCGGGGCCTCCTGAGCCATCTTGGGACGATCTTGGGGGCTCTTTGGGCCGTGGTTGACGATGCCAGGACGAAATTATCCCAGTGCGACCCTACCTAGGAGTTGGAGCATCTAGGAAAGCAACCTCTACATCTACACCGACGCTCGGCTGCGCTGTGTTATGCTATGCTATGTCATGCTATGCTATGCTATGCTATGCTATGCTATGCTATGCTATGCTATGCTGCGCTATACTATGCTATGCTATTCTATGCTGCGATATGCTATGCTATACTAGGCTATGTTATGATATGCTATGCTGCGCTATGATATGCTATGCTATGCTATGCTACGCTATGCTATGCTATGCTATGATATGCTATGCTATGCTATGCTATGCTGCGCTATGCTATTATATACTAGACTATGGTATGACATGTTATGCCGTGCTATGCTATGCTATGCTATGCTATGA